ATTATCTACTCCTTTCATTTTATATTGTTTTTCAAGTTGGTTAATCCTGAATTGCAGTTCTTTTGCAATTTCTCTATCTCTTTGGGATATAGTAGAATCAACATCTGATCTTCTTCCTTCATTAATCCTAATAGGTTCATTAAATCTACTGGACCTATGGGATCTGGCTGAATCGAAGGAGATCCTAACCATTCCATCAGAAAGCTGCTGGACAGTTTCTAGATTGGTAGATGTTGTTTCTTTGTCTTTATCATGGTTCTCATTAGTGACGAGCCATGATTCTGGAAGTTCAATGTCCTTCCATTGAAGTCTTTTGGGGACTTGGACATTAGCTTCACTGGTACTAGGTTGGATTAACAGAGTACTTTCTTTAGGGCTTTTCTTTAATGCGTGTACATTCATGTTGGTGGTTATGCATTTGTAATAGACCCTATAGATTAAAGCTAAAGAAGCAGTTTCTTTTACTAAGTCTAAGATTTGTCCAGAGAGTTTGATTCCTAAGGTTAAGGCTTTAGGAGTATGCTGGCAATGTAGACTTAATGTAAAATCAGGGAAACAATTAAAATATACTGGTCCTTCATGAAGTCCAGCTTCCATTATTCCTAAAATGCCGTTTTTATAGGTAATAAATCGTGCATCTCTTAGGGATAATAGAACTGCAGAATTCATGCCATCAGTAGTCAGGGGCTTTATAGCTACCTGGACTAATCCTAAATGAATAAAATTAAATCCTTCATTTCTGTGGATTTTCAATTCTTCTTTACTTAAGAGTTGAACTTGTTCTTCACTATTTTTTAATGCATGAACTTGTTCAATGGTTCGTACTTTTAATTTTTCACTGAAAGTTCTGGGGATCCAACTAGTTTTGTAAATTTCTTTGTGTGGTACAGAAGGGATATTCCATCCTGTCCAGTCTACATTTCTATTTTCACATTCATAGTTTTCTTCATTCACTATATTAGGTATAGTACTAGATGAAGATCTAGATGAACTAGCTGTGGAATTAGATCTGAATAACCTATTCATTTTTAAATTACAGATTGCTTTAAATTTTCAAAATTATTTTTAAGTGAAAACTACAACTGTAGTAAAACCACTAAGATCATACCCCCTATCATTCATTCCTCACTTTCTCACCTAAATCTCACAACTGCCCTATCCTTAGGGACTTATAAAGAGATATCGAGAGGCTTACAGACTCTTGGATAAACAAAGGTTAGGTGCCTTAGCTAAGTACACACTTAAAAATGATTTCTAGAATTCTAAACAATAAGAATTTTCAAATGAATCAGATAATTCAAATATAATTCAGCAGATAGATATCAAGACCGTCAAATGGCTCTGATACCAAAATAGAGCGGAAGCAGAAAGCAGAAATGAATGGGAAATTGAAATGTAAAATAAACAATAATAATTACACACAAGTATATTTACAATACTTACTGGACTAGCACTAAATGGGCTAGCCTACTAAGATTGATACAAGTGTGGGGAATAGTAGCATCTCATACTTGGAGCTTACAATCAGCACAGTATCTGTTTGTAAACGAGGAAAATAAAATGAGTGAATTCTCGAGAGAGAAAATCTTGTCCTTCTTCTTCTGTCTGATCTCCTTATATAGAGAGTGGGAGGAGTCAGGTCTTCATTGCAATGATCAAGGCTTTTGCAAAGTAAGCAGACAAAGGAAAGGGTAAAGGACAAAAGTCTCTGCTTTCGGTGATAAAGTAGAAGTGAATTGTTTTTACTAAGGGAAAAGCAATCCTGATGGTCAAAAGGCTATCACTAGGGGGGACAGCCACAGGATATAGCCATGTGATGGCCTTATCGTTACATGTGATGGGCAGCTTTTCTGTCCTATTGGGGAGACAGTAGTGATTGAAGCCATCACAAGTAAAGAAAAGAATCACGGGCTAGCTAAATCTGCAGCATCTAGGTCATCATACCCTTCATACGGATCTTGGGCAAATGGGCTCATGGGTGGAGCTACTGATCCGGAAGATGATGCTGGGGATGATCCAGAGTTGCTTGCAGCTTGGGCTTGCTGGATTAGTTCTTGGGCCATTGCAAGCAATTGGGCCGCTGTTGGAGCTTGCTTTGTAGAGTCCTTAGAGGAGGATCTCTTGGGTTTTGACTTGGTCGAACTCTCAGCAACAATCTGTTCTTCTTTATCAGGAGGTGATGCTGAGACCTTGAGTGTTGGCATGGGATTTTTTGAAGGAGTAACGGGAGGCAAGGGTTTTGGAGCCACTTGTGGGGCTGGAACCTTGACTGGATAATCCTTCTGAATGGCGTCGAGAATAATCTGGTATTGGTACCTTGGCCACCATTTCACAGAATATTGTCTGCAAATATGATGATCAATAATTCTCCATTGCCACCTGCAAATCCAAGATATTCTGTACCTGCAGAAAAAGGTTAGTAAAATAGGAATGGGGAATGCGGACTGCTGTTTACTAGGAGTAAATGCAGAGGAGAAGATAAGGAATTGATCATGAAGATCACTAGGAAGAATTTCAATGACGGGGCCATGAACCTGCCACCACCTTACAAACCAGGAGGGAATCTGACTTTTGAAATTCTTATCAAATTGAAGGAACCAGGAGTGATCTTGAGAAGCACTCTGGTAGAGGATAAGTTTAGTCCATGACTCAATGTAGTCATAATAACTAAACTTAATATTATGTCCGGGAAGTTCTCGGAGGGTAGAAGGGTGAGAACCCCAATCTTTAATGGACATAATGTTCTTAATAAATAGGGAATGGTAGATAGCTACACTAGGGTCCTTTTTATCAGGAATTCCTTTGATAAAAATAGACTGGGTGAAGAAAAGGATATCTTGGTAAAATACAAAAGTTTTTTCAGGATGGGAAGGAACAAAGGTCCATCCTTCTCCAAGATAGGCATTGACCAAATCCAATGTATTGGTTAAATGGGCATGGATTGGTTCAATAGCAAATATGTTTATGACTGGGTTTTTGTTGGTGTAATCTGTCGATGGGCCTTTGGGTCGTGGGCCTGATCGATAGAATGGATCAACAAGAAGGCTGGTTGTTGGTGGCACTTGCTGGGCCATTTGGGTAAAGGTTTTTGGGTTTACTAGGGTAGGCTGAATGGGTCGGCTTAGTGGGCCAACTGGTCTACCAAGAGGTGTAAACCTGTTAGCAATGGTCAAGGCACTAGAATGGCCAGGAGCATTAGCTGAAGCATAGGCAGAATAGGTCGGCTTAGGTAGTAATGCCAAAGAAGGTGGATCTTCTTCCTTCTTTACTGAGGCAATTGCTTGGGCCAGAATTTGGTTAACTGTTGGTTTATCCTTGCCTGTTCCCCCCTGTTTTTTGGAGGAAGACGAGGGTTTAGTAGTTTTTTTGTCCGCCATTGGGTTCCTGCAAAAATTCACGAGTTAGGAAATCAGGGATGCAGTTATTACTGCCCTTAATATATTCTATGTCAAAATCAAAAATACTTAAAATGGATTGTCATCTGGCAAAAATTTGTTTACTAGCAATATTTTGGACATCTTTTTGTAAAACATGTTTTGCAGATTTGCAATCAACTCTGATTAGAAATTTCTGATTTAATATATCATCCTGGAATTTTGAGACACACAGGATAATAGATAAGAGTTCTTTTTTAATGGTAGAATAATTGATTTGAGTTTTGTTCCAGATACCAGAATGGAAACGAACAATTTGTTCAGGAGAATTAGGAGATTCTTTCTGAAGCAAAATACCACCATAACCAATGTTAGAGGCATCAGTTTGGATGATTTTGAAAGAATTGATGGAGGGAATTCCAAGGCAAGGCAAGGTTTTGATGTATTTTTTGACCTGCTGGACAATAGAAGTATGTGCAGGTGTCCAAGGAGGAGGATTGTCTTTGAGCCGAGAATAGAGAGGTTTGACAGTTTGCTAATATATATATATATATATATATATCCATATTTTGACTTTGGATTCGGTGATTGAGCTGTGAAGTCATGTGGTTTGTTATGAACTAGGTTGTTACTTGGTTGTGTTCTAAAAAAGCAAATGACTTTTTTTTAGAAATACAGGAAGTTCAATCTTTGTAGTTCATGAAGTATAATATGCCATGCAATTGCCAAAGTTTTCAACTTGGTAATTTTGTTATGGTGAACCGTGCATGGAAGTTGGTGAAGTGGAAAAACTGGATTCTATAGTAAATCGGTGAAGTGCAGCAGTTAATTGGCCATGTTGTAAGAGATATTCTGCACTACTGTCCAGCATAGCAACCGTGAAAGCTCTAAATGTGGACATATAAAGCCTTGTAAAGCCTTGACTTTTGAGCACGTATAAAAAATATTTAATAACAATATTAAGACCATAAATGGAAAGGGATAATATCTGCTTTTCTCGTGGTATGTTAAGTTGTGTTATTGATCAATTGGATGCCACACAGAATCGCATTATCTTGGTTCTCATTGGGCTATTAATAGGGAAAATACATGTGGGGGGACCGAGGTTCACATAAAATTATGGATTTGGTTTCGTAGTGGTTGAATGCCATGCAGACTATCAGATTTGGAATGCCACCATTAGAAACCTCAGTCCCTGGTAGATAAGGTTCTGAACACCTTAAAGTGGTGGTAATGTCAATGTCATTTTAGGTGTATCTTCAACTTTGTTTGTTTCACCTCTGTTCATCTTATTGTCTGGAAGCTTGTACCCTCTTATTCACCTTTTCTGAATTGAATTGCTTCTTGTGCTCATGCTGTTTGAATTCTTGCCTCCTAATCATCCTTTAATTGTTGAGTTTTTCCGATCCACAGCCATTGGAAGGATGTGCCGAGCCATCTTCTGAATCTGCCCCACCACAGCATCAGTCTACTGCAACCGCGAGCAAGACAAATGCTCCCTGCTACTTCTACTTCAATGGGTTTTGCCATAAAGGTGACCGGTGCTCTTTTCTGCATGGACATGATGATGGTGCACCTGCTAGGATATCCTCAAAAAGTGCTTCTGCAGTCACTGATGCATTAAACATGGACAAAAAGAATTTGGCAGCAGGTGATATGGGTTCTAAACCAATAAGAACACACCCTAATTCATATGAAACCGTCCCGAAGGTAGCAGCAGAAATACAGAAGAAGCCTGAACAGGATCTCCGCCAATCTATTCATAATATCTTTGACAAAAGTGCTTCTCCACATGTCTTAGCATCTGCATGCAAAGCAGCTTCAGCAGTTAGGCTAGACACCTTACTTCCTGTGGAAGGCTTTGTTCAAAGCAGATCTCTTGTATGCACTGATCAGAGCTCAGAGGATCAAGTGGATGGCCATATTGAGCGAGAGGAGTGGTTGGAATCTTCCCCAGGTTTTGATGTTCTGGTAGATGACGGGTCAAAGAACTTGAATGAAGATGATCCAGAGCATTTACTGGACAGGGAAGGCAGAGAGCTTAATGGTCGATTTTTGGGCTATGATTTTGATGATCATATCGAGAATGATCCTATATATCCAGATGCGAGAATGCTGTATGAACAAGATATACACGATTCTTATGATCTCTTAGATGATGAGAGCACATATGATGACGTCAGAAAATATCCCATGCACTCAAGGGAGAGAATGTTGGATCGGATTCCGCCCCAGAAAAGGAAGTTCTTGCCAATGGGACAGTCGTTCAATGGCTGGAGTGGTATGGATCTTCGAGGCCATTTGCAGAAACGTAGATTGATTGATGTTCATTCAGGACAGGATTTGTCAAGAAGACTCTCCTCATCTCATCCGAGTGGTCAAAGCAAGGAAAAACCTCGACAGCAGGGTACAGGGCGGCTGCATGGTAGATTGGCGTCGCAAGTGGAAAGTAACAATTTTGAATCACACTTCGAGAATGAAGCAGTATTTAATGGTGATAATCAACGACATAGGTCAATACATTCTTGTGTAAACAGGTCTAAGCAGCATTTCAAGGAAAAGAGGCAGGGTAAACAATTCTTTCCTTCATCTGAAGTCCCAAGGAAGGAAGCTTCAAAGAAGAGATCTCCCGAGGAATATACTTTGTTTACTGCGCCAAAGACGCTTGCCCAAATAAAAGAAGAGAAGAGAAAAGCACTAGAAAATGGAGATTCCTTCGGGTCAGAAGACTTTCAGGGTCCCAAATCACTGAGTGAAATCCTCAAGGACAAAAGCAGGTTGTGTGCAGCAATTGGTGGCAATAACGGGAACAGCTTGTTAGAAATTGATCATTACCAACACGAGTAGAATTGTGATCACTAGGCCAAAACTGAGAACAACTTTGCAAAGGACAATGGACACAAAGGGTTTAAGAAGGCTTCTAGTTTGATCATATGTTCATTTGAATTCGTGTATCTATGATCCTGTTGTTCCTAATATTATAGGGAAACACTATTTTTTTCTTATCAGTAGATGGAGATTATGAGGACCTTGAGAGGAAGCTCATCAGAATTCCGCACTTTTTCAAGACTTCTTCAACAGACCCAGCTGAGTTTTCTACTTAATAAAGAAGTCCTGTGTTCTAATTACTAATGATAGAGCAGTCTACCCATTGTTTCCTGCAAAAATAGATTTCTTAGGGACTTGATACAATCACTCTTGCTGTTGAGTCATTGACATTGTCATTCGCTACAGAATTGCTCATGAATTTTTACCTCGGCTGGAAGATTTGTATTGTAAAACTACTTCTTTTCAAAGCTAATGGTTCCCTTGTTTTTGCAGAACTGAGAATGTAATATTTCTGAGTCTCCATTAGTTATTGGACAGAAGAATTTTGTGTTATGAATATCATCAGTTAGAGTGACACTGTCCAAATCAGTGGCCAACCTTTCTTTACAATTCCTTGGTGTGCTTCTTGTCTGCTAGCTATAGAAATACCAATCATTTTCAAAAATATTTTTTTACTTTTGTTTCTTTTGCAATATTTTCTGTGTATGAATATATTTTTTTGGGTAGAATTTCTTCTGTTTTCAGAGGAATTAAAGCATGCTAACTTAGGAGTTTCTTTGGGTTTTTTTTTTTCTCTATAAGATGTACAGGCTTGCGTCTGTTACTTCCTTGAGTTTCTTTGCGGCTTCTGCTCGGCTCTTTTTGTTGTTTCTGTGTGAGCACTGCTTTTGTAGATTCTCCATGACTAATTTGAAATTTTGTTCTAGCATTATTTTATTAATTAGGATTTATTGGGTTTATTGATTAATTTAGGTGAATGTTGAAGATTTGACTATTGTGATTATTTTCAATTTTATAACATCTGGTGAGAGATTTTAAAAGGTGCTGAGACCTAGTCACACAAATTAAATAATTTATAAAAACATAAGTCAAAACCCAAAAAAGGTTGACTATCATATAAGGTCTTAAGAAGAGTGTAGAAGAAGAATACATTGTTAGATATAAGAAAAAAAAAATGGCATTTTTCTGTACTTTCTTCTCTCGTAATTGTTTCTTTTGATAAATCAGAAATGGCTGCTATACTTTGAAGTAATCCAAAAACTTCTTCAAACCTTAATCATTGCAGATATGGGATTTGGTTCCTCTTTAATATCTAAATTACTAACAGAACATTTAATTTTTTTTTTAATGATGAGGATCTATTCTAATTAACCAATTCTATCTTCTTCAAAAAGTGTCGTATGATGAGGATCTATTCATGTTAAACCAATTCTTTCTTATTCAACAAATACCTTTAATTCTTAAAATTCAAATAAAAGTGAATGCTCCACTAATTTTTTGGTAGCTGGAGATGAGCTTAACTAGTTGTAAGTATCACGAGCAAAAAAAAAAAAAAAACTAGTTGTAAGTATCACAACTATGGGAGTCCTTGGTACCCAAATTTGGGTTTTATAGGAAAGAGATTAACTATAACCCGGATAAATAATTTTCGTTATCTAATTTATTGCATTTATGGGATAAGTTATGAGTTATCAATATTAGGTAGATGGATGCCATTTTTAATCCAATAAATTACTAAGCTCTTATATTAGACAACATTCTCTATGGTCATGTAAGTTCCTTATAGTCCAAACAAATGAAAAATAAATAGTAAATAGCTAAGAGTATAAGTTGAAGGGAATATTCATAAATTCACAAAATTCGAGAGACAGTTTTGTAATTTATCGACTGCCAATTAAGGAGATGCCACCTCATGACGACATTGTTATTAACTCTTTTTTTCTTTCTTTTTTAACTCCTACAAGAACAATAACTCCACCAAATTCATAAGCACCATAGAACACCCTACATCTTATCACAGAGAGAGAGAGAGAGAGAGAGAGAAGAAGATGGCTGGTTTACCAAGGTCTGAAATATCATTCAGAAGACAGGGTTCATCAGGTTTGGTATGGGAAGACAAGCTCTTCTCCGGCGAGTTGAAGCAAACAAAGGCTAAGGATGAAGAAGACACAGACAAGGCAGAATCCATAGACCCAAAACCGGCGATGCAGCGTAGTCGATCCAATGGTAACAATGCTTATCGCTCCATGAACATCACTCCTGCCCTCGTCGACCCACCGTCTCCCAAGGCGTCCGGTTGTGGTATCTGCGGCCTTTTCGGGAAGCCGGTTGCAACCCAACCGCGCAAAAGGCGGCGCAACCGTAAGTCATAGTTTCTGTATAAATCTCTTGTTTGGCTTGTTTCTTATCAATTCCTTGTTAATCCAGCAAGAATTATCATTAAAAATAAATCTGCACACATCTAATCTTATCTAAACATCACAAGAATAATAAGAAGTTCATATGCCAAACCAAATAGTGCATGTGTTTGTTTCTTTTCTTCCATAGTTTTTGATTAGGATTAGGATTTCTTGGCATATAGAGAGGTGTCTGTGGTTTGTTTTGGATGCAATCCTGTGAACAGAAATTTATGTACAAAGAAGTTCGGATGTAATTCTTCTCTCTCTCTCTCTCTCTCTCTCTCTCTCTCTCTCTCTCTAACGTCCCATGACAGGTTGAAGTGTTCAACAAAGGAGGGCTTTCTTATCTGTTTTTGTCTCAATCTTAGCTTAACTCTATTTAGATTAATTTGAAATTTAAATTTCAGTTTCCAACTGGAGTTTTATTTCCTTGTGATACATGCAGGGATTAATAGGCCAAACCCAAATCAAGTGTTTGTTCAATTCTTTTTCAGTCAGTTACATGCATTTTCCTTGGTTTATTCCGATTCATGCATAGGAGAGGGGGGGGGGGGGG